ATTTTTTATCAGATTTTTTGATTATTGATCAGAAGGTGCTCCTACATTTTTAAATTAGGAGGACAAGCGCTCCTGACTGAAATTATACGCTAAAAATGAATCTAAATCCACCAGCAGGTGGCGGCAAGTCACTGATTTTATCACTGAATCATTAATTCAATTGATTCGTTCGAACTGTTGAATCATTCAGGAATGAAGCAACTGTCTTTATGAACTGACGGGTCGTAGCATGGAAGGGAACACTTTAATCCCTGCATAAATTACATTTTAAATATATATATATATATATATATATACATACATAGAAAAAAAGTGTTTTCAATTGTATTACTGTTTCATATGACTACTGTTTATACTGTATTTTTGATCAAATGCAGACTTGGTAAACATAAGAGAGTTTTTTTTAATAAAAAACATTAAAATCTTACCAGATTTTAACATTTTCACTTTCAATTTCTAATCTATTTTGTTCACTATAGGATAGAGAACGGTTAAAAGGCCACATGAGGTCTCTGAATGGGGGTTTCCCAGTGTCATAAGACTGTAACATTAATTTTATCACTATGACTGCTCGCCAGAGATAACTGAAACAAATAATTGACTGTTTCAGTTTGTTGGAGCATTTTTCAGACTATATCTACATGTATTTTGTGGAGCAGGATGTTCAATAATTGCCAGTAAGATTTTTCTACTCCACCTTTTTATAACTGATGCTACTTGAGCAGGTTAAATTGGTAGAATATGCATTTTTCTCATTTTCACAACAGTCAGAAGCTAACCGCTTTCATTTGAAACCGTAGAGTAATACGAGAACCATGAAAATAGCACAATGTTGCCATGGGCAAAGGTCAAATATATAGTTTAGCAGTAATTATAAAGAAACATTTTCCACAATTGACCGATCAGAATCGGGTGTTTCAGAGTGTCGTGTAATAATAATGCTAACAGACTCGCTTTTGATGCAACTGAATCGTGATTATTCAAAAATTTATATTATGTATAAAATGTATATTCCACAAAGTAACTGCAGGGGAAATACAGACATGTGTTACAATGCTGTCATATTGGAAAGCATCATTTTTTTAATAATCACGATTCAGTTGCATCAAAAGCAAGTCTGTTAGCATTATTATTACACGACACTCTGAAACACCTGATTATATTTATTTTCTTTGATATATGCATATCAATACTTTATTTATTATCATTCTGACATGCAGAAACCCACTAATTCCCACTCTTCACCAATCAACCATTAAAGAAATAGTTCTCCCAAATATCACGATTCTGTCATCATTTACTCACCATAATGTTGTTCTAAACCCATATGATTTTATTTCTTCTGTGGAACACAAAAGATGGTATTCAGCAGAATGTGCAAGCTGCTCTTTTACATACAATAAATGGTTACCATGAATTTTCAGTAAATTTCGACTTGGAAAAATGCACTGAAAAGTGAATTCAAAAGGCTTGGAATAAAGTGCAGGAGTCATACAGGCTATTGATTTTATGCTTTTATGGTGCTTTTTTTTTCTTCACAGACTCTGGTCTCCATCCACTTCTAATGGAAAAGAGCATCTTTGATGGTGCTAATGTAATACTCTTTTGTTAAGTAGCTAAATATTAAATACCACGTGGCGGTATCATAAGTATTCATGTTTGTCATGCCTGCTTTATGTTTGTAGTTAAAGGAAAATGTCACCCAGAAATGAAAATGTACTCACCTTTAGGCCATCCAAAATGTAGATGAGTTTGTTTGTTCATCTGAACAGATTTGGTAGAAATGTAGCATTACATCACTTGCTCACCAATGGATCCTCTGCAATGAATGGGTGCCCTCAGCTGATAAAACGTCACAATAATCCACAAGTAATCCACATGACTCCAGTCCATCAATTAGCATCTTGCAGTGAATGGGTGCCGTCAGAATGAGAGTCCAAACAGCTGATAAAACGTCACAATAATCCACAAGTAATCCACATGACTCCAGTCCATCAATTAGCATCTAGTGAAGCGAAAAGGAGTGTTCTTATAAACAAATCTGTTTATTATAAATATTTATTTGGACACTCATTCTGACGGCAACCATTCACTGCAGATGATCCATTGGTGAGCAAGTAATGTAATGCTAAATTTCTTCAAATCTGTTTTGATGAAATAACCTCATCTACATCTTTGATGGTCTGGGGGTGAGTACATATTCAGCAAATTGTCATTTTTGGGTGAACTATTCCTTTAAGACCTGTAAATGATTTAAACAGTGTATTGACAGCCCTTTTCAAATTTTAGCTGATTAAACAGTCTAAGGATGATGAATAGGACATTATGACTTCTTGTTGTGGGTGTGTCTCCGTTAAGTTTGATTACTTGATTAAAGCTGCAGTCCATAAGTTTTGCCTCTGTCGCCATCTCTGTTTGAAAACCTGGAATTGCAGCTGTGTGTGGAATTATCTAGCTTGCGTGGGTTGTGCGGCGGCACGGCTCCAGCGCGGATGAATCTAATGTTCTGAAGAGTGTGTGTGGCTGTCAGTCACCGCACCGGTGTGTGGATATTTACTGTACTTTGCAATCAAAGATTCTAGCCTACGTCTTGGAATATGACCCAAATAAGAATTTTCACCGGATATTGCCATCTGAACAAGTAACAAGTCTGCCACGTTTGTTCTGACCAACTGAGGAAAAAATCATTACCATAAATCTCGCTACCAATGGTGATTAAATCTAAAGATCGGTTAGCTCATATCACATCAAACCATTCAAATTATTATTATACTTTATTCTCAAATGATTAATGTTAACAACATCAGCAT